GGCCTCCTTGATAAGTCGCTCTTCAGGTCAAGCTTTCGTGTACTCCCCTCACTTGAGGGTCTTCGTACGGAGTATGCTGATCCATAAGGGTGGATGATTGCATTCCCCTCATTTAGAGGGTTGTTATTCTGAGTGCTTGCTCCCTAGAGCTCTGTTCGGCACTTAGGAGCATGGTTAGTACTGCTAGCTCAGTACTCTAGCTTTTTGAGTCATTATGCAGTGTACTCCGCTCCCTAGAGCTCCGCTTAGACAGTACTATTAGTATGTATGCTCTATCGTGAGCCTCACTAACTGTCCCTAGCGCTGAGTGTAGCCTCCTCTCGTTCTAGAGAGTTGTCATGCTGAGGCCTCTTGAGTTGTTGAGCCTCACTAACTGCCTCTGGCGTTGAGTGTAGCTAGGTCTCCTCTCGCTTCAGAGAGTCATTATGCTGAGACCTCCACTCTTAAGAGCTCCTCAACTAGGGTTGAGTGTTGTTAGGCTCCTCTCATAGTTGTTGAGCCTCACTAACTGCCTCTGGCGTTGAGTGTAGCTAGGTCTCCTCTCGCTTTAGAGAGTCGTTATGCTGAGACCTTTACTTTTAAGAGTTCCCCTACCAGGATCAAGCGTTGTTAGGTTTCCTCTCATTTAAGAGAGTCATCCTGCTGAAGCCTCCGCTCCCCAGAGCTCCGCTTAGGTAGTAATATGAGTTGTAGGCACTTTCTTTTGAGCCCCACTAACTGCCTCTGGCGCTGAGTGTGGCTAGGTCTCCTCTCGGCTGTAGAGAGTCGTTATGCTGAGACCTCCACTCTTAAGAGCTCCTCAACTAGGGTTGAGTGTTGTTAGGCTCCTCTCGTTTAGGAGAGTCATCCTACTGAAGTCTCCGCTCTTTAGAACTGCTTTAGAGAGTCATTATGCTGAGACCTCCACTCTTAAGAGTTCGCCTACCAGAATCGAGTGTTGCTAGGTTTCCTCTCATTTAAGAGAGTCATTCTGCTGAAGCCTCCGCTCTCCAGAGCTCCGCTTAGGCAGTAAAATGAGTCTGTAGGCTCTTTCTTTTTGAGCCTCACTAACTGCTTCTGGCGTTGAGTGTAGCTAGGTCTCCTCTCGCTTTGGAGAGTTGTTGTGCTGAGACCTCCACTCTTAAGAACCCCTCAACTAGGGTTGAGAGTTGTTAGGCTTCCTCTCATTTAAGAGAGTCATTTTGCTGAAGCCTCCACGCTGCAGAGTTCTGCTTAGGCAGTATTAATGTGTAGGCTCTTTCTTTTGAGCCTCACTAACTGCCTCTAGTGTTGAGTGTAGCTAGGTCCCCTCTTGCTTTAGAGAGTCGTTATGCTGAGACCGCTACTCTTAAGAGTCCCCCTACCAGGATCGAGTGTTGCTAGGCTTCCTCTCGTTTAAGAGAATCATCCTGCTGAAGCCTCAGCTCTCCAGAGCTCCGTCTTTGGCGGTAATATGAGTTTGTAGGCTCTTTCTTTTTGAGCCTCACTAACTGCCTCTGGCGCTGAGTGTAGCTAGGTCTCCTCTCACTTCAGGGAGTCGTCATGCTGAGACCTCCACTCTTAAGAGCTCCTCAACTAGGGTTGAGTGTTGTTAGGCTTCTTCTCGTTTAAGAGAGTCAGTCTGCTGAAGCCTCCACTCTGCATAGCTCCGCTTAGGCAGTATTAATGTGTAGGCTCTTGAGCCTCACTAACTGCCTCTGGCGTTGAGTCCTCTCTTAAGAGCTCCTAACTAGGATTGAGTGTTTTTAGGCTTCCTCTCGTGTAAGAGAGTCATCCTGCCGAAGTCTCTGCTCTCCAGAGCTCCGCTTAGGCAGTATTAATGTGTAGGCTCTTGAGCCTCAGTAACTGCCTCTGGCGTTGAGTGTAGCTATGTCTCCTCTCGCTTTGGAGAGTCGTTATGCTGAGACCTCCACTCTTAAGAGATCCCCTACCAGGATTGAGTGTTGTTAGGCTTCCTCTCATTTAAGAGAGTCATTCTGCTGAAGCCTCCGCTCTCCAGAGCACCGCTTAGGCAGAATATGGGTTCGTAGGCTCTTCCCTTTTGAGCCTCAATAACTGCCTCTGGTGTTGAGTGTAGCCAGGTCTCCTCTCGCTTTAGAGAGTCGTTATGCTGAGACCTCCACTTTTAAGAGCTCCTCAACTATGGTTGAGTGTTGTTAGGCTTCCTCTCGTTTAAGAGAGTCATTCTGCTGAAGCCTCCACTCTGCATAGCTCTGCTTAGGCAGTATTAATGTGTAGGCTCTTGAACCTCATTAACTGCCTCGGGCGTTGAGTGTAGCCAGGTCTCCTCTCATTCTAGAGAGTCGTTATGCTGAGACCTCCACTCTTAGAGTTCCATACTTTGGTGGGTGAGCTAGTCTATGGCGAGCTTTGAGCCTGCCTGTAGAGGTTTGTGGCTCGGGTTCTGGCAAAAGTGATTTGGCTGGGGCAGGGATGGTGTTCCTTGAGTCCTTGACTTAAGGAATCCAGTTTTTGGGCACTCATCCCTCAGCATGGCGGCGTGGGTAGACCGTTCCCCTAGCGCCCTCTAGAGGATGCAGCGTGGAGTTCCCTTTCGAAAGGGAACGTCTCAGGTTACGCATGTAACCATGGTTCCCCTGAGACGCTGCGTCTCATTGCCATGCTTCGGGCATTCCTGCAGGCGTCTCCTTCAGACAAAGAAGTGGATGACGTTTTCCGCAGGTGCTTAGCGCAGCGCCTCGTTCCCTATTTTCAGGGAACCATGGTTACATGCGTAACCTGAGACGTTTTCTCTTGAAGAAAAAGTTCACGTGCTGGTAGAACTTTGGCAAAACTGTCTTTAAGTTTGCATGATTAAAGTCACCGGATATTATGAAAAAGCCATCAGGGTTGTTTTTTAATATAGCGATTATTAGCATATGCCGCCTTTAGCATTGTGTATAATACATTTCTGCCTCATATGGTGATCAGAATTCCCTTTGGGTCGCAATCATAAGTTCATTCAGACACTCACTGTTGTCTGAAAGTGAGTTGCCTTTAAAATATTTTCAAATGTCTTAAATGTTGATGCTAGCTGATAGCTTGATATGAAAACATGGGAAATGAACAGCGGTGCCGACCGTCTCTAACTCGGATAAACTCCACCTTTGTTCATGACCACACCTCTAGCCTCACTTGGCCCGCTTTGGCCCAAGTTATTTGACGGTCCGAAAATCTCTGGCTGTTGGCCCCGAGGAAGCCCCGACGAGGTACAATCAAGCCCTGGCAGTGACAGTGGAAACGTGACTGGCCATGGCACACACTAGCACACCTGCTTTTGGCCTGACAGTGGAAACACAGCTACTGGAGCAGCACCAAAATGTATTATTTTATTTATTTATTTATTTATTTCCACAGAACATATAACAGTTTTGACAGGCTTACTTGATGGTTATTCCAGCATGTTATGCATTCCCGATTTTGTGTACCTTGTATTCTGCCATTTTTTGTTTGTTTTTTTGTTTAGTTTTTTTAGGTTTCTTTTGCCGCATTTTGTAGTCATTTGTGTTTTTCTTGATGATTAGTTCAAGAAATTATGGCCTTGAATATCTGCAGCTCTTCTGTCAGCTTTCAGAGTACAGTATTGACAGCACCATTGAATAGCATTGGGGGCATTATCGTTTGCTGTAGACTAATAAAATTAAAATATACAAATAGCATTTTTAAATGACTTGTTTCTAAATAAATTTGACATTTTACTTTGTTTTTGTGTTGAGTTTATCTCATATCTGAATGATGTGATTGTGTTGATGTGTGTTGATTGAGACGATTGAAGTGAATGTGGTTTGATTTCAGTCTCAAGCTGAGCACACAGAGCGTCAGATTAAACAGCAGTTTGAGAAGCTTCATCAGTTTCTCAGAGATGAAGAAGAAGCTACAATCACTGCACTGAGGGAGGAAGAGGAGCAGAAGAAGCAGATGATGAAGGAGAAGCTGGAGGAGATGAACAGACACATCTCAGCTCTTTCAGACAGAATCAAAGACATGGAGGAGATGATGCAAGCCAGTGATGTCTGCTTTCTGAAGGTCTGATTACAGATCATTGATTGATTGATTGATTGATGGATTGATGCTTGATTGAGTTGTTGATGATCAATGCTGTGTTTGTTCTGCAGGAGTTTCCAGTCTCAATGGAAAGGTGAGTGATCTGCTGCTGTCTCTGCTCTCTCTGCTTCTGATCCAAAGCCACTGCAGTTCTGATCCTGAATGTTCTTCCAGAGTCCAGATCTCATCACAGCCGGATCCACAGACGCCTTCTGGAGCTTTGATTCATGTGCCGTGTTATTTGGGTAACCTGCCGTTCAGAGTCTGGAGGAAGATGCAGGACATCGTCCAGAACAGTGAGTCTGACTGCAGAAGATCTGGGCCCGTATTTATCAAGCCTCTGAGAATTACTCTCAAGAACGCTGCTAAGAATTTACTTAAGTGTAAAATAATTCTTGGCTTAAAGCTGCGCTTAAAAGTTAGTTATCAAGCATCTGAGTCCAGGGCAGGGTGCGAACTACGGGGGAGCTAGGGGGAGCTCGGCTCCCCTTAATAAGACATGGGCTCCCCTGAAAATGTGATTTGTGAAATTTTGGGGGGTCTCAAAAAATATTGTCAATGTGTTATTTTGACGTCAAATTTCAGTTTTGTGTAATGTGATCATCCTGGATTATTATGTGTAAAATTGCAAAAACATCATTCATTCATGCATGACGGCGATTTAAACCTAATTCACTTCAATAAAGATAACTATACATGCTATTATTGTCATTGGCATCAAGGTGTGGGGGCGTTGATGTTTAGTACATGTTAACTCAAAGATTCGTAGAAAAAAATATAAACGTTGGAGGCCGTTGATCTGCGCGCGAAGTCCTTGAAATCCATTCTGCTGTTAGCATCATATAGCCACCATGGCAAAAAGAACACAAGGCAGTTTAATTAATTTTGGTTTTACTAAGAAATTGTGTAGTGATGACGTTAATAGCACAACCGATTCACCTGCTGCAAGCCCTGTTAGCACACCTCCCGCCGGGGTGACAACACAAGAAGAAGCTGAAGAAATAAAGTCCTCTCTGGCTGAAGATGGTGGTGTTAACAGCTTGTCAGAGGCCGGTCACGATCCTAAACCCTCTTGCTCCTCTCTCCCGTTAAACTGGAGCAGCTAGCAGTGGAGAGACTGGAAGAGCCGATATACATGGCTTTTTCTTAAGGATGGAAGCTTGGGGTGCATCGCTTGTAGGTACGCAAAAACCCTTCTTCTGTCTGAAAAGGTACCTGGCACGCATTTGTCTGAGGAGTGGATTAATGGGGAAGTAAGCAGCACTGCTCAGAACAAGTTGCGAAAAAAGATATATAAACACAGGGACAGCATTGCACACAAAAGGGCCATTGAAGTGTATAACAAACGTTCGTAGGTCGGGAAGAAGGAGACGGGAACCGGCGAACATTTAAACAAAACTTTAATCAAATAAACAAACACAAAATGAAAGTAAAGCGGCAGCCCCTCGCGGACGACTGCCAGACAGTGCCTTCGTACAGCAGGATTAGATGATGAGTTTTTGGGGAAACACCTCATCAGCATCGCCACAGATGGGGCTGCAGTTCTCACTGGCAAAACCACTGGAGTCATTGCAAGGCTTAAGCGTGACTTTCCAAACATCAAGTCCATACATTGCTTGGCCCATCACCTTGAATTGGCTGTCCATGATTCTTTGAAAGTGGTTGCTGGATGTAATCATTTCGAGTTTTTCATTGCCAAGCTGTATTCTCTGTACCACCAGTCTGCTAAGAATGTGAGATTGCTTGAGGAAGCAGCTGCAGATCTAAATATGCAGATTTTGAGAATTGGACAGATATTCACCATCAGATGGGTGGCGAGTAGTTTTAATACTGTAAAGGCGGTCTGTAATAACTACCCTGCTTTAGCACACCACTTCAAAATTGCAAGTGAGGATGCATCTCGCAATGACAGAGAGGAAAAAATTCCTGGCGCTATACAAACATCTCACAAACTCAGGGTTTTTACTTGATTTGGCTTGCATGAAAGACATACTCCGTGAGCTGCAGGGCCTGTCACTGAAATTTCAGCAAAAAGATATCACTCTAGTTGATGCCAGTTGCCACATTCTGCAGTCTATTGATATACTGAAAGCAATGAAAGCAAGTGAAGGGAAATCCACACAGAAGACCGAACAGCGCACATCCCTGGGGCTGTTTAAAGATGTTCAACTAGTTGAGGGTACAGGCAAGATTAATCGAAATCAGCTTTATCAATCTGTGATCGACAATCTCACAAGGCGAATGCCAGAATCAGACCTCCTACAAATGCTAAAACCCCTGGACAAGCGCTTTTGGCCACAGGATCGGAATGCTTTGATCCTGTATGGAGAAAACGAAGTACGTGCACTTGCTAAAATGCTTGGAGAACCAGCCAGAGAGGTGGTCGAGGAGTTTCGCGACTGGAAATTACAAGACAGAGCCCCAGGCAGAAAGCTGGAAAAAGATTTGTGCAGTGAGTAGAACATATCTTCCTACTTCAGCTGAGTGTGAGAGGGGATTTTCTGCCGTCAATGATACTGACAGCAAGACCCGCAATAGGTTGCGTGAAAACAGCCTCTCATCGCTCCTTTTTCTGGACATTAATGGACCCCCATTGGAGAGTTTTGACCCAATGCCTTTTATCACATCTTGGATTAAGGCAGGTCATCGCCCATCCACTTCTTGGATTTCTGGACGAACAGCAAAGGAAGCTGATACGTGCACTTGCTAAAATGCTTGGAGAACCAGCCAGAGAGGTGGTCGAGGAGTTTCGCGACTGGAAATTACAAGACAGAGCACCAGGCAGAAAGCTGGAAAAGATTTGTGCAGTGAGTAGAACATATCTTCCTACTTCAGCTGAGAGTGAGAGGGGATTTTCTGCCGTCAATGATACTGGCAGCAAGACCCGCAATAGGTTGCGTGAAAACAGCCTCTCATCGCTCCTTTTTCTGGACATTAATGGACCCCCATTGGAGAGTTTCGACCCAATGCCTTTTATCACATCTTGGATTAAGGCAGGTCATCGCCCATCCACTTCTTGGATTTCTGGACGAACAGCAAAGGAAGCTGACCCCAGGCCTCTGTGGTCGATTCTGTATTAAGGTAAGGCATGTTATTCGCAATTATGTGTTGTGGCTGGGTTGTTATAGGTCTGCGATGTTCTCGATG